CAGATGACGTGCCCATCCTTGAGTCCTTGCCAACCTCTCTATAGGGCGGCTGCCACTTGCCTCAGGCTTTCCTCAGCCTTGGACTTCCACCCGAAGAATGAATGTCCTCGTCTCCACTGGTGCAAGGGGTGTCGGTGTCCCAAACTGCTGCAGACCTGCGTACGTTGGGATGTCCCAGAAATGCCAGTTGTACACTAGCTCGCTGGTCTCGTTCTCACCTGCTTCGTCCCGTAGAGCTTCTATGCGCTCCACAAACCTCCACTTTGCTGGTACTACGATGACCACTTCTTTCAACTCTGACTGGTCCTCCACGATCCTCTCGCTCTTTATCCACTTGATCTTGCTGATGTGCTCCTCTGTCTCCACCACCAGCGTGTGGATCCTCCGCACACGAGTCTTGCAGGTCAGGGGCAGAACCGAACTGGCTTGGTAGTATTGAATTTCATGCGCCGTCGAGATCCCAATGCCTCCAGCTAGACCTGCCAAAATCAAAAGCTCGAGGATCCAGATCGAAGCGAAAGATGGGCCTTCCCTGGATCGAATTGTCCTCTTCCTCCTCAATGGGGTTGTCGTGGAGCTCAAGCTCTTCGTCGTGCTCGTAGTGACCGTGGAGGGCGGAGCCCCGGCTCTTTACGGCCAGGGCTCCGCTACCATGCAAAGCGCAAGCGGCTTTTCCTGAAATGGGCTTTGGGCCTAAATTTGCCCAGTCGAGTCAACCTGCGTGTACATGCCTGAATGATTGTCCTAGTCTGCCCTACCATCTTCTGACATTATACATATAATGATATATATACATATGAAAGGGGGCGACTGCCCGTTCATCAAATAGTCATCAGATCTGGAATAAACTTGAGAAGGTTCCATGGAAACAGATTTATTTATGTCTCATTTGAAATCAAACATCCCCATTCACCGCAACCTGAGCTCGAAGCTCCTGCACATTGCCACGACGATAGCTCCCTGCTGGGAGTGGCAGGAAAGCAGTCCACACAAGGGCTCTTGACTTTCTACCATTAAACCTATTGGACACGAACTACGCTGCAAGTTGGACAATACCAACAACGATGCTTGTGGCAACCCTGTGTAATTACTTTAGAGCCTGCCATGTACCTTTTCCATCCTAAAGCTTTAAAGCAAGCCAAGGTTGGAGTGTGACACTCCGCATTGCTGGAATGCTATTGTCTGATTCCAGTCAATGTTATCAGCTGAGACTGCCGGATCAACCAATCTGCCACCTGTTGCAGGATCGAGTGTAGTAGATTGCGTGGTCTTTTGTGCAAAATAGTCAGTCACAACTTGAACAAGCATCAAGAAACGGCACTTCGTCAGTTTCATCCGCCATGGCTTCAATGGTCTCCTATGCCACTCTACCTATACATCTACATATATACCCACCACACCAGCGTCGCACCCTTCGTCTACCAGTGCAAACACTTTGACAACAGTAACGCTAAGGGTGCAACCAATGGACTGGTCTGGCTCAAAAGTCAAGACGGGAAGCCGTCTGCTGACCTATGACCTATGAGTCCATCCATTCCAAAGGCCTCCTTTACACCCACAATCCCAAAAACTACCACCCTTCTATTCTATGTCACTAAGCTCTAACATGCTCTAACAAAAGTTCTCAGAAAACATCAAGAACAATAGATGATCCAACCAAAGTAAGTAGTCAAACAAGGCATTCTTGGGAACCACTTATCCAACCTATCTATCTAGTCCATGTCCGATCGCAGTGTTCGCCTCAACCCAATGTGCCCCAAAGAGCGATGTACCAGTTGGACAGCAGCCAGAGCCACTAATGCCTAAGGTCTCGAGAAGCTTTAACCAACGAGTATCCAAGAGACTGAAGACTAGAATTGCACTTAGCTACTAGTAGCGTCCTTGCTACTAGGAGTAGTGGCCTCCAACCTAATAGCGATGGCCTCCAACCTACTAGCTTCTTGTTACTAAGGACATTCATGAGAATCCTTGTGAACATGTTTCAGGTCGGTATGACACGTGCATGAACAACGACCCCCGACATACCTCTCGGTATCGAGATTCCCGACCCGGCACTCGTAGAGTGTGGCGATGAACATGAGGTGACCAACCTGGAAGCAAATCCTGGAGATGGTTAAGTATCTTGGACCCGGATTAATACAGTACCGCCCTTCAATCATAGACATGCACTACTAAACTCGTTGTAACGCTACCAAATATATAATCGAAATTGCTCCCATGTTGCTCTGCATGAACATCCACAAATGAACAGGACACTCGAGCACCATGGTTTGGGTGCTGAATCTGAATCTTCACCTGGAACCCAGGCTAAATCACAGGATTAATCACAGCATATTTCCGAGCAAGTCCTGGCAATCCACCATGTTAATAATGTTCATTGATATCCAAAGCTAAGCTGCAGATACATTTTGTACATTTTCTCGGAGACCCACTCAGGAAACTCGTGGGATCTTGAAATACGTACTCTGAAACTCCTCGGGGCGCAGTAAGGTTCCAGCAAGAGAACACGTGGACAATGATAGAGTATGAAGCGATATCGTACTGAGTCATCATCAGTACACGTTCACGGATTGATGCTGAAGTTGGTCTTGTTGCAGCTGCAACTAAGTGCGCCATGCAAGCCACAGTAGGTGGCCTAAAAATCATATCAAGGTGTGCCCTCATGCTAAGTTCGCTAAATCCTTGAGCGACGATCTATTTGCAAGACATCAAACAAAAGGCAAAAGTAAAAAACGGTAAAGGAAACGAAATCACACTGTTTCTTTTCGACTTTTCCAGACGTTTGACTTTTCGAGACTCAAACCTTTTGAAAATTTTGGATTTTTCGATGTTTGCGCTGGTCTCACTTCTCCGACTTACCGAATTAAGAAGAAAAATGTTCGTAAACCATGTAAAAATGTTCGTAAAACATGTAAAAGGAGGTTCTTTTGATATCACCTCAAAGTCATGCCTCTGCAATGAATTAAAAAATTGGAACTTCCATTGCACCCTACCTTTCATTTAGGAGGAGTCCTGAAGGGAACGTTGAATTGATCATGTACACTGGAGACAAATACGGTTCCATATAAATATACATAGATATTGCCTTGACAGCGATCTTGATCCAAGACTATACTTACAGTTGCAAGAACATAGGCATATAAAAGTTGTATAAAAGATCAAGCCGTCAATCGTACAGTCGGTACAGTCGTAGAGTGTCAGAAGTCTTGCCTTTTTATATATGTCAGCCCCTACTACCAGGACCGGCGCAAACGTAATGAAACTATATGTGAGCAAACAGGGGGTATAGGACCCCCCCCAGTCTATAGAGCCAAAACGTTCCAGCCCAGAGCATCTATAGAATCTATAGTCATCAATGGTGTTTTCCAGTGTTTTACATGTGTAGCTACTAGGGAACGACGCCACCAGGCGCCTGGTCGTTTCGGGGTTGCAATCGTCACGCCCCCCCTGAGGCTGCGGCGTTCACACACGCACCTTGTTTTTGACACACTTTCACGTTCTCCGCCGGTGTTCTACGCAACTTCTCACGTCGAAACACCCATTGCCACACACGCATCTCCAGCTTCGCTGAACGCGTGGCCTTCACACTTTTCACCTTCCCTTTTTTGTTGGCTGTTTGTGGCAGCCAGCATTTCAAGCTCTTCCAACCTGCATCAAGCGTTTGAGTGCCCGCTTCGCGTGACAACCCACGTGGAACGTTTTGGTCTGCGATGCGAACACTGTACTCTGTTTTCCGATGCACACAATGCAAGCACTTGATTTTCAAATGCGCAACGGCCTTGTTCGATGCCCTGGCGCCGTCTGCGTACAACGCAGCTGGTCTTGCAGCACTGACCCCATTGCCATAACGCGTGTGTCTGCGCGTGTGGAATGCAAACGTAAATGCATTGAACGTAAACGTCTGTGTGATCTGCACAAAAGCAAAAACCTATGAAGAACGCTACGCAACAGGCGTGCCAATATCCCAGCCTCACCCCCGCCACACGCACCCCATGTCAAGCCACTCGAACGTAGCACGCCATTTCATACAAATAAAAAGCAAACAAAAACACCAGGCGCCCAGCAGCGACGATGGCAACAACTACCAGGCACAAATCCTAGGAGATTTGGGGCTGATGGCTTCAAAAGATTTCAAAAGCCTACAGTAGGGGGATCAATCCAAAGACAGCTTTATTCAGCTGAAAAGGGGGTGGGACCCCCCATGCCAAGACAAGGGACCGATAACTTTTGGACCTTCGCAAAATGTTCGGAGAGCGAGTAGATCCAGCTCACACATAGCAACCACAGTCTACTCTGAACTTGCTGTATCTCTCGCATACACACGACATGCCTGAGGTTGATGGTGGCAAAGCCGCAGGTATCATGGCATCAATCTGTTGGTGCCTAGTCCAACATTACAGAAGCAGCTAAAGTACAAAAATAGCTCAATCTTTCTCAGGCTTTGACGCCAGATACACTAAAATCATAGTGGGGTCCCCTGTAGAGCCAAAACGATATACAAAAAGTTATAAGTATGTGTATATAGTGTCAAACGGATCAAGTAATCCTTTCATGATATTTCCCAGTTATACGATTGGATAGTGGACCGATGAAAGAGTTCTTATAAATAACTCACTTCACAGCAAACATATTGAATATGCCCAGGCTCGCTACACTAGTTTCTTCCATCGGATATTTAAACAATCTGTTGTGGTGAAGGGTTTTGCTTGAGCTAAGTTTTGGCAAAGCCTGCAAAGTTGCGTGCCGCTTTGATCAGCAATGCAGGCAAGTGGATGCCTACAGTCCGATTGTACATTGACATGCTAGTGCACGGCCGATTCATCTCAAGGCTTGCATGAGTGGGTGAGCACACCAACACAGTCCAAACAACAAAAAGCCAAATCTGCACTCTGAAGCTGAAGATAGCGATCCAATGGACACACTATTGAATACAAAGAAATGATATATATATATATATATATATCAGCCCTAAGTTTATAGAAGAAGAGCTCACACTTTTTCGCGTCTGTGTCACCGTGTCACCTGTAAATTATCGGCAACCATGCCATCTGGGCACCACAATGCAGCATGTCAGCAAAATAAGTTGTAGATTGAACCACTGAAAGCAATTCTGTACATCGATATATTTGTACATATTTGTACAAAAGACATCGAATTGGGTACGGACCCCAAATACCTTACAGTATGTAAACGAGCGACTCTGACTCAAGATTGAAAAGTGTGATTCTCATGCCCGAAAACACTCCCCAACCTCGGTGCATTTTGCCATCTTGTATGCCGCGATTCTTGGCTCACGCACATGTGGCGCCCAGCACCTAAATCTTTACGCGATCCTTCATCCGGCCACCGGTCGCTGTGGGCGCTGTGAGCACCGTCACTGATTCACTTTTTGAGCTCCAGGTATGTGGCGTAAATACCGGTGACTAAGACCAAACCTGGCCGCATTGACCCGCGGAGGATTGACCAAACCTTTTGGATCTCTTCGGAATTGGTAGTAGGAACGAACAACTACCCTGCAACGTTTTAGGAATACTGCCATGCTTGGCCATGCTGGTATGCCAACCCCGGTCAAAAACATACCTTATCATATTGATTGACTCTTCTGAAGCCCCCTATTGTGACATAAGTCTCCTCAGGATATGCTCAAATGGGGATGAGATCTTCGTGTGGTGCCATGCATGTTGGCTTCAAATTGGAAACGGTTCCTACTAACTATGAGAAACGTGCCTTTTACACATAAGCGGAAGGCCTTCAATCTACCAAACACCAACTGTTGTTGTTTCCGGTGCATGTTTCGTTGGGGCCTGTACACAGTAGTTGATGAAAACACATTGAATGACACCATATCTCAAGAATAAATCAAATGCAGTACCAAACAAGTGATGGAAAGTACTGTTCATACTGTTTCTGAGAGTGCTTTCAAATGACATGCTTGCTGGAATCATGGAATCCCACGATATGTGTCTTTCTTCAAGTACAAGCTCGAGGTCCCATGACAAAACACTACAAGAACATGCAACACACACACACACACCATATCGAGCCCATATCACATCACTCCAGGTGAGAGGGGAGTTTCTTCTTCCCAACTGTTCCATCAAACTCAGTCAGCTAAAAGCCCGCAAACTGCTTAGTCAACCCCCCAAAAAGAGTCACCCCTTCGGCCATTGGGATTGGTTCTTTTAAGCAGCATCAGTCTAGGTTTGGCCATTGGGCATCATTAGGCCGTGTAGATGGTTTCGCTCCTTCGAGACCGCACATCATCTGCCTGAGATGGAACTCGCCGCGAAGCCAGCAGGCAAGTTGCCTGAGAGCCAGACAGAGAGCTGCAACTGTGCAGCGATTACGATCGCCTGCCATGTATGCCTTGGAAGTAGACCTGCTGGACAAATTCACATATCCTATAGGTCCTATGGCTCAAGAAACACGGTGCAACAGTGCAACACTGCAATACGTTCCTTCCCAATAAGGTAGATCGGCAGTCTGTCTATGTGAGATCACGGGTCACCATGTCATCTCGTCAATATTTTTCATATTCAGCGAACCACACAGTGTGACCTATTTGAACTCGTGCAGCCACCTTCCAACTATACGCATCCATAAAGAGCTGATCCAACATGGCACTTGCTGGAGCTCTGCAAGCTGAAAAATATGGTGTTTGAAGGCTTTCCGTGTCTTTCTCAGTCTACAGGGTAGATCAGAACCTCCCTGTCGATTTCATTCTTCTTGTGCCACACATCTTAAAACTGAAACCAATACAAAAACTCATTTCTAGAAAAGGCCGATTGTAAGTCGCGTGTTGTGACCGGGTGTGCCTTGAGTTTGATGAACATACGACTCTGACTCTACATATTCTCTATTTGCACAAGAAGCTACTACGAACAAAGGGTTGGCTGGTTCCCCACCAAGCTGATCGCTCCTTTGAGGGCCAAGAAGCCCTTCATGCGAGCCTTCCGGTCTTTGGCATAAGCCAAAGCCCCGTAGGTGCGAAAGAAGGCGAAAAGGCCGAAGCAACAGGCAGTGGTCCAAGGGAACACGTAGCCCGCCAGGACTGTCCTGGAGGAGGACTGTCTGGTCTAAGCCGCCTCTGAGTCTCGACTTTCAATCTTTGTGTTGGCGAACTGAACAAATTGACAAGTGAGGCAATGCTTCTGTGGCGGCATTGTCTATTTGGGGTGAGGGAGAGTGGCTCTGGAATTTTGGGCATGCATCCAACTTTTGAGTATCTGAGGGTATGATAGGGTATGGCTTTGCAAATATTTCTCAAGACGGTTGGATGGCTTTTGGATTTGTCCTTCGAACATGTTCATAGAGCTTTGGGGGGTGCCTTTAACAGCTGAAGAACAACCATCTGAGGAAGGCTGAAAACACTCTGTTTCAGGGTTGATTAAGGTCATGATACCAGTCGACTCATTTAGATGCCATCCTTCCTTCATCTTCTTCATCGCCATTACGAGGTTTCGCTGAATCTATCTCAACAATTCCACCCGATGTTTCACACGGCTTCTTAGTGTCCCTCCGGATCTTCCATGCGTGCTCCTGGCGTTCATGTTTCTGAGCTCTACACCCTCCTGTTGAAACCCCAGCCCTTCTTGCAGTTTGATGCACTGACCCAAGCAACAAAACAAACGAGACCGCAAAAGAGCACATCATACTGCCAATTCCCTGGTCTGATGGATGTTCATGTTTTTCTTGGTTGATGGATTTGAATCCTGGGCAACAGAAGAAAATTCAGATAATCCTTCATTTCTTTGCAGCCCAGTTGGGGCCCAGTTGGCGAGGAGGCCCTAAGTTTAATTTGGACAATAACAAAGTTACTACTGGTACATACTAATACTATTGTTACTATTACTATTACTACTACTACTACCACCATGCAGACCTTTGCCAACAGTTTGTTGCAAAGCAATGTATTCCTCTCCCCAACCCCAGCCACAGAGTGTCAGTCACTGTGGTCACTGTGCTTTGAGTCAAATAACACATCCAGCTGCTCTTCTCAACCCTTTGTCCAAGATGCTCGATGGTCAAAGGAAAAAGCTGCTCAAAGATGTTCTGCACCCCTCGCTGCGCACGATTGAAGGTACCAAAGGCTCCCTCCTGTTCGATTGTGATCACACTGCGATCGAGCTTCACCCCATTGGACACCCATAATCAATTTAATATATCTAAATTATATACACACAATAAAAAAACAAAACTCATATATGGGATCTCGTCAAAATGTCTTCTCCCAAAAATGGCAGAATGTCGTGTTCACATTGGGGCCCGCTACATATTCTTTACTTTTGGCGCACACACACAGCTGATTAATGAAGGAAACATTGACCAAACAAGGATTGGCACCAAATTGTGAGAGGTGTCGCTAGTGCTGCACCGTTTTCAGCTGCCCTCCGAGGAAGTTGAACCATTGCTGTCTGAACTCTGTGCCTTTTCAAGCACCGCTTGAAACAAAAGACGTGTTGCAAGTCAGCCTTGGAAGGGTCCATGCTGGAATCTGGCAATTTTTGCTAGCGTGGGTCTAGCGCAGTGCTAGCGCGCGGCCAGCGCATCTTTTGGCCAGCCACTTTTCAAAACCTGACAAGGTTCTGAACATGTCCTAAGTCAAACACTAGCGCAAGCCTAGTGGCTCAGCTGCAGAGTAGGTGTGTTTAGCTGGGGGCCCGCTACATAATCTAATTAAAGAACAACATCATGAGCTACTTTCGACCCCTTTATCTAAATTGTTTGATTAATGTTGCATCCTAATTAGTAGAATGGGACACAATAGTAAAAAGTGTTCGCCAAATTATTCACACACCCTGATTAGTTCTATGGGACAGAATAATAAACGTTTTTTCACCCAGGGTGTTTTTTTTCGTGAGGTTTGTTTTCTATATAGATTTATAGTGACGGAGGACAATCACTTAGAACAAATCGGTGAAAAAGAAACAAGAAAATGGAGCTGCAAAACCTTAGACTTAGAACATGCAAAAACCTGACACTTAGAACATGATAAGCCCATCACTTAGAACAAACAGAGCTCATTCGTTCTAAATGTATCTGAATTTGTTCTAAGCGCTTGTCCGTCACTATTCAAGGTTGGGTACACATTTGACGCGATTGGGTTGAAATGCTGTAGGGTCGCTACGAGGAGCAAGGATGCTACTAGGGGCTCCCGGCCTTACTACTAGAAACAGGGTTCGCTACGCGCAAGGACGCTACTAGGGGCTCCTGGCCTTACTACTAGTCACAAGAAGCTACTAGTAACAAAGGGCATCGCCACTACATAGGTGCAAGGATGCTACTAGGGGCTCCTGGCCTTACTACTAGGAAAAAGGTTCGCTACTAGTAACAAAGGGCATCGCTGCTAGGAGCAAGGATGCAGCTAGGGGCTTGTACTATGTGCTGGGTCCTCGGCATGTTCTATGTGACTCCTTTTTTTGTGACAATAACTATGTTCCAAGTGGTTGTCCGTCACTATAATTAGACCACCACCACCAACAACAACCCAAAAAACAAAACAGCAGCAACTAACTCTATTATTGTTCTGCTATTGCTGCCCTTTCAAGCCCTGACTTAACTCTTCTGAGGTTTGCTGGATTCATAGAACTCTGACCTGGAAACCTTTATCAAAAACCCTTTAAAACTCATCGATTTCATTGCCACAAACAATTTTTCAAGGGGTAGTACACAAGCCCAGGGTAATTGAATGGTATGAATTGTTTAGGGGGCTGGATGAATCAGCAACCTTGGAGGCCTAGCGGAAAAAGAAATAACTCCATTATTGTTCTGCTATTGCTGCCCTTAGCTGTAGGCATGGCTGAGGGATGCCTCACAGAGTGGATCTGTTGCCTGGGAAAACTGAACAAGCTTGAGCTGAGAGCTGCGTCCAAATCACAGCTGCACATGCTCCTACTTACTACTACTGCTACTACTGCTACTGCTACTACAACTGCTGCTGCTGCTACTACTACTACTCCTACTACTACTACTCCTACTACTACTACTCCTACTTTTACTACAACTACTACTACTCCTACTCCTACTCCTACTATTACTATTACTATTACTACTACTAATAATACTCCTACTACTACCACTACTACTACTACTACTACTACTAATGTTACTACTACTACTACTACTACTGCTACTACTAATGTTACTACTACTACTACTACTACTACTACTACGACTCCTACTCCTACTCCTACTCCTACTACTACTACTACAACAACTACTACTACTTCTACTTCTTGTGGCGGTGATACTCTTCAGACCCCCTGGATTGTTTGCTAAGGGGGTTTGCTAATTAAGATCCTACATTATAGACTTTTGGTCGGACTCCATATGTATATACATACAATTATACAATTATACATATATATATATATATATCCGCCGACCCCAGCGTGACTGTTGATAAAAAGACCGGGAACGGATAATGCTAAGGCTAATCATATAAGTAAAGGAAGATTTGTCCAAGATTTCTCCATCCCAATTGATTTACATCTTGGGGCACCCTCTCCACCCGCGGGGGAAAATAAGCACGGTCCCTAAATGGTCCCGGGCTCGAATCCCGGCCTGGTTACGGCCTGGTCCCTGCCAGTGGTGTTGGTTCTTCCTAGATTTTGTAACGTTTTCCGCTGGATTGCTAGGATTTTCAAAGGTTTTTGTAAGATTTACTCATGCCCTTTTCGTTTTTTTCCAGAAATTTCTATGGTTTTTCTAGGAAGTTCTGTGGCTTCCTGACATTTTCCACTCTTTTTTCTAAGGTGTTTTCGAGGGTTTTTTCTAGGAGTTTCTCCTCTATGCGCTCCGCACGTGCAAGCTTTTTCTGCTCTTTTCTAGTGCTGTGCTCGCATTCTGCAAGTGGTTCCCAGATTTTCAAAGAAAAATGCTAACCCATTTGCCGTGCTCTCTTCTGCCTACTTTGCGCCGACCCCGGCCCGCTCGACCTCTGGGAACACGAGCCTGGTTCTCCCACGCCTACAGCTCTGCTGCAAGGTTCAGGCAAGACACTCGCACACAAACAAAATGCCTCACTCCAGACTTCGCTGTCGCAGTGCTCTGGCTGGCAGACACACTGGCAACACCCTGCAAACGGTTTACTCAAAGCTTCGCTGCTGCAATACTCTGGCTGGCAGACAGATGGGCAACGCCCTGTGCAGAAGCAATGTCCATACGCCTACATATTGAACCGATTGGCCTGGGAAGGCTCTCTGATGTGGGTGTCGCTGTTACGCAACTCTCAGCGCGGACAGCGACATTCCCATACCGTTGACTCACCTGCACCATGATCGCTTCCACGTGTGAAAGGCACCAGGCGTGCCAGAGATAGGCAAGAAACATAAAGAGCAAAGAAAGGGGAGAAAACAAACAAAGCACCAGAAAGAAATCATAAAGGACAGGAAGAGGATGGTGAAGGAAAGAAAATATGAGCCAAAACAACAATGGACCAGGGGGGATTGGAACCACCCAATCTTTGGGCCCAGATGGGAGAAGGTTCCTGTTGCCCTCCAGGAAGGCCCAACGCCTTAACCATTAGGCCACTGGCCGACTGTCTCTATGCTTTTGGACTTCCTGTCCTGCACTTTGTGCATGAGTTTTCAAGGGCCACACTGGGGCTTAAGGTTTGTGTGTGTACTCCATGTTTGCTGTCAGGGGCCTTGCTTTCACCATTTGCCATGCTCTCTTCTTCCTACTTTGGTGATGCAGTGACAGATCATGTCTCTAGGGGTTCCGTGTTGTTTTTTGGGTTCCCCGATTTTTCGAAACACTCTTAACCCATTAAACCTAGGCCATCCACTTCCCTGGGGGTCGGCGGCCGCCAGGCGCTAGCCTGGTTAAATATATACACACCACTATACACACCTCGTTAATCCGTGTTTATGAGTTCACTTAGATGTTCTCTGCGGTTGCACCTGAGGCGCTCCAACGCAAAACCTCGCTTACCCAATCTTGCCTCGTCCATCAAAACCATGGTGCTGCCGGGGCCTCCAACCACCTCAGGTCAAATGAGGTTTTGTGAAACTATGTTCTTCCTGTCCGGAACTCAACTCTATTCGGTTGGAGGCCATCGCTAATAGGTTGGTTGATCATGAAGAGAAACCCTGTTTGATTTAATCAAACATTAGATGCAAACAAATCAGCTGATCAATGGCAGCCGTCTTCCCACATGGTCCCGACTAGGACCTAGGATAGATATCGATGTCGATGTCAAGAATTCTCCTGCCCTCCTCTGATTGAATCACTCATCCTTGATATTTGTCAGTCTAGCACGCTAAGACCTTCCTGACACGAGCATGCCACAACACACCGCTGAGGCGTTCGACAAAATCAAACCCCTACACTCGATCCCCTGCCGCGGCCCTGCCGCCTTGTATACGTGCTGGTCGGGGACGTTCACCCCAGAGGATCGTCGTGCCGTAGCCAGGCTGCTTTGTGCGAACGCAATGCAAAGCTTGGCAAACATCATAGAGATGTACCTGGGCTGGAGCTGGAAGCGGCTGCAAACATCTTTCTGGCAGGGGCGGACAAACTTCCAAACCACAAATCGTTGGAAGGACCCTATGGGCTGCCTGTGAGTTTGATGACTTGAACATTACCAATTTCATCATATCCAGTGAATATGAATTGGTGGTTAAAGAGGTCTTCATTGGTGCCCAACCAGAATGCTCTTTGAGTCAAAGGCGATTGTGAAGCCTTACCTCCAAACCCAAAGCAGCCATCATAGTCTTTTGATGCGAAGCAGCAACATCCCTGAGGCCTCACATTGTGTTTCGACACTGAAACCCACCTCTGAGGTGGCTGGCAAGCCTCCCAATCCGGAATATGAAGGAATCAAATGAACATAAACTGGCATAGAAAAAAAGGATTTGAAGGATAATCCCAAAGGAGTTGAACAAGCCTGCAAAGGTTTATACCAGTACTTGCGTGTTTGTCCGCCTTCAGCTTAGACCATCTTGCTAACTATATGCATTATTGACTAATTATGTATTATCAATCTGATCAAGCCAATTCAGCCAGAAAAACAAAACAAACAAACAGCATGAAACAAATACAATGTAATGCAATAAGTGACGCTCAACATTTGGGGCTGAAAATAAGAACTGATCAGAGTGTTGCCACGTTCCATGCCCCAGGACATTGCCCCACGCCCTGACTGTGTATCATTGGCCCTGGCCCTAGCTCATGTCATTTATGCTGATAAACATGCTTAGCACTTCATTCAAGCATATTTCTTGTTATGTTGCAACTCGCCAAAATAGAGTCTTGCCATCCTCCTTTGGTCTGACCTATGTCTTTGGGTGCAACATTTCACGTAGCAAGCAACCAAAGGAAACATGACGTGGAAGGCCACTGGCAAGTCTGTCTAGCTCTTGACCTTTGAGCCACATTCCCCCAAGACAAAAGACATTGTCCTCGATCCTCGTACCTGCACTATAAATAAATTTGTGCATTATTGTTGAGACCTTTTTCTCTTGCCTAGCTGCAATGGCCCTGCGCTAAGCGCGGCCACCTCCTGCACCTTGCCACTGGCAGAGCTTTTGCCGGCGAGGCCCGAGAAGGCCACAGATGCACCAATGATGCCCGGCAGCGAGAAGATGAAGTTCCTAGGAGGACTGGCTAGTTTCAATGAGGAAGTCCAATGAAACATGGATCCTCTGCTAGTTTCCCATGGATGTTTGCCGGTCTCCCACGCAATGGCGCCCATCTACTCCCACTTTGCTCAGCAGCATCGCAGGGAAGAGCACGTAGAAGTTGGTCTTGTCCTGAGCCCGTCATCACCGGTCATCACGAGACCAAGGTGGCCAGTGAAAACTGGGATTGTAGGGTCATCGGTTTCAAGAATAAGAAATATATCATCTGTATTTGATGCATGGTAAGATATGGTGAGCCTTTGTCAGGTTTGGCTACTTCTCTGCTGTACACTAGCCATCGTTCTGAGCATGCCCCCAAGGCGTTGGGATTGGAGGGAATGCCTTGAATGTGCAAGCAAGCGGCCATACCCATTGCAGTAAAGTCGGACTTGGTTGGATCCGGCTTTGACATGGCTACCAAACACCAGCACAAGTTACAAGTGCAACAGTCACCCAATGCAGCTACTAGCAGCCCTATGGCAGCAGATTGATCGCGTGAAGGCACTTATCATGCATCTCAAAGGCAATCATGGTCATCCATGTGCAACACGTAGTTACCTTCTGCATTCTTTGCTGCACCAACACCCAAAACTATTCCTAACATTCTAGAGACTTCTTCTTGAAACGGCCCAATATCTTATGAACATTTGTGAACTATCACTAGGAGGAGTGACATCGCGTCTCTAGAGATGCTATGTGTTCCTTCCAATACAAAGAACATCACTCCTTGTCTGAATGGCCTCGCACAAAAGGCTGGGATGGACTCTGAAAAACCCTCTGATACAAAAAATTGCATACACACACCTTGCAGTAATCCTCTGGGAGATTCTGGGAGGTATTTTAAAAAAGACAAATCTACAGTTTCCATCGCAGCCGCCTAACTTGTTCCTTTTTCTCCTTGTTGTAGCATGACGAGGAGGTGTTTCACCACATGGTAGATCTGTGCAGGCTAAGGCAGCGCAGGCAGCCGTTCGAATCTACAGTAGCCCACCTTCGACTCCCCTTCTGTATTTTGGCACCGCCTCAAGACCTCCGAGGTTTCCACATGTTTCCACAAACAGCCGGACTTCCAAAGTCAAGACTTGTGGGGCATGGATCGAGTAGTCCCTCCTGGTGCGATTCCGGAGGAACAGAGTCGTGGTAAATCGCACGCAACTGGCCCTTCCTACGCTAGTTTGCACCTTGAGTATGAGAGAAGCCTGTAAGCATCGACAAAAAGATAAAGCAATACGGAATGGAAAGGCCACGAAGACACGATTTGCTCTGATGGTTGTCCCTTTTGGAGTTCTTTGACCACAGGTGCACAGCGCTGTCAGAATTTTACCGCCAACCCAAGGCAATAACATCGTGTTCAATGAAGGAACGTCAATAGAGTACACCAATACACCACCAAGGTGAAAGAAGAAACATAGGAGTTGCACACCGAGATCCGAGATCTGTTGGCCGCGTTGATTTAAGATAAAGGGCAACCCAACTGAAGTTTCCAAACAAGCCCTGTGCTCCCTTCCCACTTGAAATCAAGCCCTTCCCATGTGAGCTCATGTGCAGAAACAGTTTTTGTGAAGCACTCTGTTCAGCAGTGATTGGGGATTGACTCATTCAGCTGGGTGGTGTTGGGGTTGTCAATTGGTGCTGAGAGTTTGGGATGTGTTAACAGTTATGTTATATAGCTGTTTTCTTTTATCTTATGCTTGAGAATCCTGGTTTTGCGGCCTTCAGCCAAAGTAGCGCGGCTGCGCAGCCAAAAGGGCCTGCTACCAGTAGCAGTGGCAGAAGCCGACTAAAGAACGAAGAGGTTGGTGATGGTGAAAGCGGGCATAGTGTCTGTGCGTATGTGTGAGCGAACAATCTTCAGCGTTTACAGGTCTGTGTCAAAATGAAATACTAGTTGATCAGTGATGATTGTTTATACATACATGGTCAAGTTTCTTTTCTGTATCATCACATCGTCTGAGCCTTTGTGAAACACCAACCCAGGTTCGTTGGACGGTCATGTCAGATCCTGTCGATGGCAGGAAGATTGTCTTCCTCTCTTATTGGTGCGAAGGGAATGCAATAGAAACACCCTTCAATCAATATCATGCGATGTTCGATCCTCTCATTCCCGACAAAGCACACATCACTGCGTTGCGTGATTCAGCAGCTACAGTGACTCCAATTTGCGTGGACCACAGCCTGCGTAACCGCTGAACGGAACAGCCAGGCCACGGCCATTGGCGGAGAAACATTAAGTTATATTAAATTCACGGACTCCGCCGATGTACAGCGCGGGAGCCGATCTACTGTAAGCTAAGCAACTTGAAAACTCAGGCCTGAAGGTAATCTCATGACTCTTTTCAAAAGCAGCTTGTGCAAGTCTGAGGTGGTTGGGGATACTCACGTCGCTTCGCGACGGTAGCCGCTCGCACCGCACTCGTTGGGCCATGTTTTGCGTTCAAGTCCCTATCTCGCGGACACGTCCTTTAGATAGTGACTTCTAGGGCTATGTTAGGCAATCTCTTTACTTTATTCCAGTCCCTTTTGAGCCCTCGTTGGGCCATGTTTTGCGTTCAAGTCCCTATCTCGCAGACGCATCCGTTAGATAGTGACTTCTAGGGCTATGTTAGGCAATATGGAAGCTATGTTGAGCCACGTTAGGGGAGCCTGTTCAGCCAAATGTCCGGCCTCAGTCCAATTACACTTTACCGCTCAGATGATTCAAATCATGCAAAGGAAGAAAATTGCATTTCTTGCATCACCAGGGGCTTCAAAATAGCACGAATTCATCTTCCAGCATTTTAAGCCGGTTCCAAACACGTGAAAAAACACAGGATTCTAGAGCGAAAATGCCCCCCTCCCCCTCGCTAAAGCTATTGCATATGCTAGCTTACGTATACCGCGTGCCCTAAAAAAATGTCTCGGCACCTTCGGTGCGGGCGGATTTAAGGTACGTTTGGAGAGTCTAAAAGAAGCCACGGCCCATGGCATGGATGCCTGTTTGGGCCTGAACACGACTTTCAGGCAGTTCATTCTGTGCCAGGCACCGCCTGATATGTGACTCACCCTGGATTCCCTTTGGGAAGTGGGTGAACCGGACGTGCCCTGCTGCGAGCCCTTGCTTTTCAAGCTACTCAGCACGAGCATACTGTAAAATAACAATTCGATACACTTCGTACTTGGATATCTCTTAATATGACTGCATGAGTGAGGATATATTTGCACAAGTTCCAAAATTGCCGAAGGGCAACTGGAAAATGGACTCCCAAGCTGCTCCATCTAAGTCCAAAGCCCTGGATACCTGACATGACATGCCAACCGGTTTAATATGCTATCGTCATGAAAGTGCCTGCAAGTTCACCAAATGTCACCAGAAATGCGAAGATTTCGACTGTATGTTGTTTACCTTCGAACCAAGCTCAGCTGATTCTCCGGTACCTGTTCCAACTGTCAGGCTTGCATTGGAGCACAAAGGCATCAACCTCGACCAACGGGGTTAGACAAACGGGGTTGATCTAGATGCTGGTCTTTCACGAGGCCATCGACACCTAGTAATCAGTAATCTAGTCGTCCAGGGGTTCATCGGAGTCATTTTACAACAAGTGAAGCAACTCTTGTTCCTAGTGGCTTCTTGTTCCTAGTGGCGATGCCAGGAACCCCCAGTAGCGTCCTTGCTCCTAGTAGCGATGCCAGGAGTCCCTAGTAGCATCCTTTGCCCCTAGTAGCGTCCTCTAGATCAACCCCATATCTGGAAACCGGCTCTTCCTGGTGCTGCCAGGAATGGCCGACTGCCATGCCGCCGGGTTTGAGGACTGCAGACCCGGATCTGAAACCAGAGTCTCCAGAATTAGACGTCACATGAAGGATCATGATCTCACACATGTTCAAATAAATGTGTTGAGATTACGTAAATGGCTGGGTGGTTTTAGTCTTTCCTTTCACCATTTCATGAATCAGGATCTTCCCATTTCAGGTGGCAAGCCCACAAAAAATATGCATCTGAAAGGGTTTAATGGACGATAAAGGAAGTGTCCATGACAAAGTGGGTTGCACAAAGCTGTTGTCTCCACCAAATGAAATGGATGAGTTCATTCATTTCATCAGCATCGGCTCTGATTCTGATTGTAATTAGAATTGAACACCAAAACAAGCGAAACGGTTTCAATCGCATCAGCTGGCCCTGTTTTCCGAGGCACTTTCGGTGGAAAGAATGGAACCCAATTGTGTGCAATTGCTCATAGCATTGGCATCAAAAAAAGTGGGTGTAGTGTGGATTCAGCAAGTCTGATTCCAATGAATCACACTGACATGGAGTATAGCCATGAAAACCATGTAACCATAACTAATCTATAGTTAAGAGTCTATGGTCAAGAGTCTTGATTGAACCTTTTGGGTTCTGCAAGCTCCAAGTCCTCCAACTAGGCCATCGCAGTATGTGCGGTTGAAGGATCGCTTCCACGCCCAAGGCTGACGCTTCCCGAAACCGTGTGGTGAATGCAGTGAATCAAAGTGAACCAGCATCCGGCGATGCTATTTGGTTGCAAGCCTCGCTACTAGGAGCAAAGGGCCACGCTACTAGGAGCAAGGACGCTACTAGGGGCTCCTGGCCGTACTACTAGAAACAAGAAGCTACTAGGAACAAAGGCCATCGCTACTAGGGTGGAGTAGGCCGTCGCTAGTGGATTGGTTTCAAGACTTCGGGGCTCTGGACCTGCATGGAATTCAACTTCATGTGAAGACTGTAGGATCGGATGAACCTGTTGCAGTGAGATTAAACTGGTCTTACTATACCAAGCAAAACATCTGTAACAGTGGTGAGTCTGAGAAATCTCACCTCGTAACCTTTCTCCAACCTTGAAAAGCACCAATCTTTGCCACCCCTCTGTGAGAAGGGCAGAATAGTATCTTGCCCCTGGCCTGGGTGGAGTGGAGAATCTGGAAGAACAACATAGAACAACATATACATGCACAAGGATTGATTGTGTGTGTGTTGCTTCTTATATTGGTTCCCAATGATTTGGCGGAGGTCGCCTCAGCCTTGGTCCTCCTCGTCCCGCTCTCCGGAGGACTCCCCACGTTTCTTGCGAATCAGGCGAGTGAAGTTGGTCGGGATGCAACAGATCCTGGCAACCGGTTGTGTGTGATGTTGGCCATCTGTCTTGTCGCAGGTCTTGTGGGCATACATGGGCATATATGTGCATGATACCAAAATTGCTGGAGGACCTATAGAAACATAGAAATGTACTTGGGATTACTTGAGTATGGTAGAAGCAGGCCTCAAGCGATTGTCTTTACTGCGTGTGAAGCCTATAATGGTGCGTGTCAGTAGATGCAAAGGCTCACTGACACCTTGACAAGGGCATCGTTTCCGGCGTTTCGATAACGGTGAAGGACTTGGCTCCTTCTAGCACCCACAGTTGCGATGCAAATAAGACAGGTAGTGAGAGGATTGTTTGCGACATCTTCAAACACTGCTAGCCATATTTTGAATTGGAGTGATTGCTGGAGTTCTCCCCCCACCATACATTAAATTAGTTACTCTTGCGAAAGCTGCAGCCCAACAAGTTTATCAAGTCCCAGGTGTCCAGTGGGAAGAGATCAACACCGCCCTTGCGTGGAAATCCGAGGGATTCAAAGAGGTTATATAGTAGCGTCCTTGCTCCTAGTAGTAAGGCCAGAGGTGTTGGGCTCGAGCCTGCACGCGGCGCACCTGCAGCCCCCTTGCACCCGTGCGAGGGGACTCGAATCGAGCCATGGTATGCTTCTCGGCCAGCCATGTGGTTAGCTCGAGTTCCAGATGGTGCCATGTGCACAAGCAAGTGTTGACACCTGTCCAGACGGTACAGTGGCATCCCCGCTTTGCCATCGTGGACACTGTGGGACTCGACGGAAGACATGTTCTGGTGAAGGTACCCTTTGATACCTTGAGATATCTGCAATCTGGGCAAAGCACGGCTTTTTGTCATGGAAGAAAGGAGGATGTTAACGTCATGACGACCAAGACAGTGAAGGCGATGATTTCCTCATGCATGGTACACCTGTCACCGTGCCTCCATCTTTTGACTCCTCGTGCAGTCCACTACCAGAAGATACTGAACCATGGGCGATCGGATATGAGCAATATGACTCGGCTTGTGGCTATGGGTATACAGAAGATGAGGATAGCTCAATTGAACCATGGATGTACACCCATTTGGCTCGCAAGAGTCTACACGATGATGGACACACCCCCTTCCCTTCAGGGGTCGCTGGGAAAGAGGAAGTGATTACTATGCAAAGGCACCCTACAATTTTGTCTAAAAAACTTCATGAATCACGGCTAGTCTCTGCACAGACATTGATACAGAATCTCTGGAGCAGACGAAGTGAACCGGAGCGAAACCATATTCGACAGGATGATCTGAGTAGAATGACAGGTTCTACAGAGGAATATGGTTCTTTGAATTTTGAACCATGGGCCTTCGAAGTTGTTGGCGCACATGATAAAGGCGACCTCTCAACTGCATCCAACGAGGAATTTCTTCATGAACCATGGGGTGCTCAATACTTGCCTCAAGAACTTCGTTCTGACTTCGCAAGTCTTTCCCATGAGTCGGCGATATCTTCATCGCCAGCAAACCAAGGTTGTTCACTTTTACCATGCATCCCTTCATGTTTTGATGCTTTCCGGCTGTCCAAGCCCATACTGTCGCACCTAGCCTGTGTCACGCCCAGATTCACACAAGGTTTTGATGATAGGATGACATGTCGGAATGGACCCCTTAGTCATACAGCCTCCAATGATTTTTGGTCAGGATGCTTTTGGATGACCAGCAGGGGGAGAACAAGGGATGATCCTAGGACCAACGTCAGCCAGGGTACGACATTCATTCAAGACCAGAACATTCGCAGTCAGCCATGGAAACCAGGTTCGTCCTCTCCATGTCTCCTCTTTACGTGTCAGCCTACGCCTGACTTGGTCCCTCTCCAAAGTCTCCGTGCCGATTCTAGTGCCGCAGGTTTGCAAGAACCAACAGTACCAATTTTGTTTGCTGCCCCCGTGGAACCATCCGCAGTTGGATTCCCAACTGGAACCAGGGGTAACAAGAATTAATCAGGACCATTTTGGCCTCATGCAAGATGTCCACAATCAAAGCAGGACCAGCTTTTCGAAATTAGAAAGCCTTTCCATTGAGATGAATCATATCCTGAGCACACCTTGGCCCATTGCAGGTCAAGTAGGTTGTACGGACCATTTGACATCCGCACGAGACGTCATCATTCCTCCCTACTTGACAGGCTTTCAGTGTCAAGATCCTATTTGTGCTTTTCAACACAAGGATGAGGCTCAGTTTCGCTTACAGACAAGTATCTCCACCCTTGCGAACACAAAATATATCGCAAACCAACCAGGACCCACTATGTGACGCCTTTGACACTGGTGAATTGATGTTGCTCTATGATTCTTCATGGATGATGGAACATTCGACACCTTGTACTTTACACGCCACCTCACGGAGGCAGTTGATACAAGATCTACAACATCCTTCATGGATAACATTCTACAGCGAGGCTGTACCCGGAGACAATTTGCAGTTCTTCGCAAAATTAATGCGGTCCACAAGGTGGTTGGAAGCAAATCTTCCTCGTCATTGCCTCCAGACCAACTTCGCTATGCCTCCATCAGCCTTAGGTCGTTTCCAGTCAGACGGATCATTTTGCAAGGCAACAGACAGGATTCGTCCAGATACTCAGGTACTTGCTCTACAACACCAAACGATATGTACTGGGGCTGTACCCGTCTACAACCACGATCAATTCCACGCACCTGAACATGACGATCCAGTTTTTTGGCAGTGGTCAAGTTTTGTTGCAGTTGACGCAACTCCACAGGTGCCATCAACCATCAGTACAGAGACGACAGGTTCCTCAAGCAGACCAACTTCGAATACCGTTCCTACAGCGCATTCGACCCTCGATGGAGCCTCTGGCATTTTGGCTGCCGTTGGTACAACCGAAATCGAAATTACAGGGTTCCTCTGGAATTCGGGACTTCTTTTGTCCTCCTACTCCAACCAGTACTGACGGCGATCAATATCAAGCTCAAGGATCTACTCGGTTCTCGCCAATGTCTTTGTTTGATGCAGCAAACAGTGATACACTGTCAGGGCTTTCTTTCGAGTGTCTTCAGCGAACATTGATCTTGATTGTGGGCACTTCGGACACACATCCCTTGGTCATCCTCAACAGCAAGCGCAGATTACTATCTTGACAGGGGCTGTACCCGATCCAACAGTCTTGATCCATGAGCTACAACATTTGACCATATCTCGTGGGGCTGTACCCATTTCCAACCTCACACATGTCATCAAGGTATTGTCAATTGAACCCGAGATTGAACAGATCTTTCTCAATCAGGATGACAAAATTTTATGGTGTCAAAGGAGGCTCACTCCCTGTGATCCCCTTATTGAAGCTCGACACCCATTGTGTCGAACTGCAGCTCAGTTGACCTTCACCAATCTTGCCGACATCAAGCTTCAGTGCCATGTGGACGGATTGAACTTTTGCTTCCACTTCGCGAGTTCCACTGGATCTTAAGATTCCCAAGCTGATTCCTCATCAGCTACACCACAATTTGGGGCACTGCCTCGATATAATCATGATTTTCGAATTCCAAGTTATTGGCCTTTTCGAAAGAGCTTGACTTGTGACTTCTTCGATCTATCTCTACGACCACGACATAGGACAATATTCACAGGGGCTGTACCCGATCCAAGCATTTGCAAACCAGATCAACAGCAGATTACTACATCTCGTGGGGCTGTACCCGTTGCCAACCGCACACATTTCAGTGTAGTTAGACTGGTTCAGTTTCATCAGGGTCAGGTACTCACAATGTTCCAGGAGGCTCCTCAAGTGGATTTCCGGAACAATCCTTTTGACAATTATGACCAACGTACGACTACAGTGACCAGGCTGTCTTTCAGTTTACTGGGAAGCGCATCTACGGCTCTGCAATGTCAGAACAGTGATATTTCCGCGAATGTGGAAAGGAGCAAAGATGATCCTCTACCATTCCAAGCCTGCAGGTAGCGCCGACAAGCATTTTCGACATCCAAACATATCTCCCTGCCAAAGTTCGAGAGTTCTGGACTTCAGCAAGCATCCATCAGTTTCCGGCCAGTCTAGTTTGGCAGAACACAGATCAGATGACTCCAGTACCATTACATTTTACCAATTTGAGAGGGGCTGTGCCCGATAACAACCGCGTATAGCATCGACAACCTCAACGGAAAGGAGTGGGCTTACAATCAGCCCGGAATATTCACCAACCGACAACTCCTTTTTGGAAGCCTGTTTCGGTATTCTCGCATCAACGATGACGGTTGCATTTGGGCCATGTCCGCTGCTTTCCAGGTAGACACAAGTATTTGGCCCAACATGAGTGAAGTTTATGGTGATACTTATGGGTCATCATCAGTAGACCTCAGCCCAGTTCTCATGAACTCTCAAGCCTCTCTGCCGAGCGGTGGCTGGAGTACAGCTATTTATCGCGGAGGACACCCAGCGTGGGGTTGATGCCAGGTAGTGCATATGAATCCTAACCCCCCATTCGCAGAACGATGTGCAGCAGCATCGCAAGATGAGGGATGGTTGGCCTCTGACGAAGCTCTATGGTTTCTTGGCAAGGTCAAGGATTGGAGAACTGACATCGTTATCGGACCGATGATTTTATGTAGCCCACAGCGAGATTTACAATATCTCATCGCGGCAGAACACCACATTCAGCTCGACAATCACAAACTCACACTACTGCTGTTCTTGGTTGATGCTCAATGGTGTGCAGTGGAGGTAGACAGACGTACCGATCCACTTCACATTGTTCTTGTCCAATGGCCAGATGAACATCGCACACTCGTCACATTGGAAATGTCTCGAATTTTGCAGATTCCCCCGCACCGCATGCTAGTCTCGACTGATTCTAATCATGAGGTTCTAACCATGTGTGGATGGACCATATACTCTGGCGATGGTACCATAACTTTGCCACGCAAGCTTGTCTGCAGCCACTCATCCACGTGGCGGATCATCATCGAGGCCAATTTGATCGGGTAATCATGAGGGCTCAACAAATGTGGAA